CGCATGCCCCACGCAGGTGTATGCAGGGGCAGGCAGACGCGTCGCGAGGCGAGGCGATGATACATCACGTGATGAGTCCTTCCATTCAGGACTCAACTTTTGACTGTTTTCATTTTAATTTTACTTTTGACTCCATGCGCAAGTCTCGCATCGGCCCCCCGCGCCCGAGCCCGAGCCCGAGCCCGATCTTTGAGTCTGTTCGATTTCAAGGTGGGATACATATTCGAGATTAGATTTGAAATGAGTGTGCCGGTACTGTATTTATTAAAAGTCAGGGTCCATGCATGCAGGCGCTCCCTCGATCCTCGCGCGTGCGGTGTGGAGGCGGAAAGGCGTGTGCGCGTGCGTGTGCGTGTGCGTGAGGGAGTGAGGGAGTGCGGGAGTGCGGGAAGTGGGTGCGGTGCGGTTGGGTGCGGTGCGGTGCGGTGCCGGGCAAAGCTTTGCGAAGCAGGCCAAACGCGCGAAGACCGTGAATTCAAGGCGCAATCACATGGCAATGGCATTGGCAATGGCAATGGCGGCATATCATCCATCCATTCCTCCATTCAATTCCACTTTTGTGGCACAATACAAGATTCAGGCTTGTCGCGCTCCACATAAGACTCTACACGCAACGCAACGCAACGCAACGCACCTTTACCTCCTTTCGCTCCTCCCTCACATACTCATCATGACGCAAGCAACATCGAGGGAGAGTAGTGGTGGTATAGCAGATCAGAATGCGAATGAAGGTGGTGATGCTGCTGCGGCGGGGGCGGGGGCGGGGGCGGAAGGAGCTACTCGCGAAAGGATGCATGGGCAAGATTCGCCTTTGCTCGAGCTGACTGAGACAGCGACGGGCACGCGCGAAGCCAGCACATTGCCTACAGATAAGCAAGCGGAGCAAACAGAGACTCGCAATGGAAATGGCGATGGTCACGCGCAAACGTCGAAGAAGATTGTACCTGAAGGCGAAGCAGGGCAGCAGCAGCAGCAGCAGGAGCAGCAGCAGGAGCGGGCTGATGCGATCGATCGACAGGCCACCACGCTCACGTCGCGATTGCGCGCCTCGGAAGCGGATGCGGAGAGGTTGCTGCGCGTTCCTCGAAGGAACATTCGCATGCCAAATGGCAACGCAGAGAAGCAGCAGCAGAGAAACGGAGACGAGGTGGGCACGGTGGTGGTGGCATGGGGCTCACCGGATATTCTATCGGGCATCGTTCTGCCTGCCTCCTCTCCCTTGCGCGGCTCGTGGATTCCTCAAGGCATGACGTGCGCAGGCAGGGAATTCTGGTATCTGCTAGTGATGCAGGGCATGGGTGCGGCGTTGATATCGGGAGCGATCAATTTCGGCATTGCGGTGGCGTGCTACAAGCATCAAATAGGCACGCGCATCTGGCCATTCGAACCTTTGACCGTCGCTGGGGATATGGGCGTGACGGTGATCATTCAACTGGTCATCTCCATGCTCATCACCAGCGCATTGGTGCATGCAGACGTCAATGCTGGACCCGTCGCTCCGCTCTCCCATCCTTGGCCTCCGCTATTGCACCTGCCCAGCTCTCCCACTCCTTCTCCAAGCATTTGGGGCATGGGCACCGGCACCGGCACCAGCACCAGCGCGGCTACTGGGATTGGCAATGCTTTGGAGATGGGCAAAGCGACGGGAAAGAGCACAACGACTTGCTGCTTCTGGTGGGCCATACGCAGCATCTGCACAGGTTCCGAGCGCGACAATTGGACGCAGCGCGGCGGCTTGAGTCTTGGCGGGCGCATGCAGCGCGTGCTCTGGTGCGCAGCGCACGGTCTATTGCTGTGCGCTCTGCTCACATTCTGGTGGGCCTGGCCCATAGCCATCGCCATTGTGGCGCCCATCTACGAGCACCGCGATCTGGGCATCGGAGGTTCGGGAAATGGTTGGACGCCTTGCTTTATCAAACTCATCTTTGGCGCATTGCTCGCCTTGCTCACAAACCCCTTCATGGCGCTACTAGCCATGGGCGCAGAGTACAATGTCAGAAGAGCATATCCCGACAATCCTCTTTTCCTCGCTCAGCCTTGGGGAGAGGAGAATCTCAAAAGGTGGAAGAATGAATTGGGCTTGGGCTTGGGCTTGGGCTTGTAGGCGCCCCCATCTTGGGCCCCGCGCGCATGATTTATCCCCTCCGAACTTCAACTTCCAAAGGACTTTGCATCTCCATCTCCCTTCACTGCTATACCCCCCCCTCTCCCTCTCCCTCTCTCGCACCCTCGCACCCTCGCACGCATCCCACTCCATTCATCTTCCCTTCACGCAACCCACCCCCCTCGACGTCGCTAATGCATGCACTCCATAGAATTTTGCCCCCCTACATCGCACTAGCAGCAACGCCAGCATTGTTATCGGGGCGAAGAAGGCGGGGCACGAATCGGGCGCGGGCTCGGGCTCGGGGGCGCTCGATCGGCTGCGTGAAATGGATTGCTTTTCTTTTTCGCCACGAGCAACCTTTCCTTCGGCTTTACAATTCCTCAATGATCAGATCCTCATCCGTCTCTCCATTCTCATCCTTTTGCCCTCCTGCTCCTCCCACATTCGCCTTCGCATTCGCACTCCCACTCGCACTCGCACCCGCCGCTTCCTCCTCCTCCTCCTCCTCCTCCTCTACCATCGTCTCGCTGCTCTCGTCCCTCTGAAGGATATTGACAAGCCGAACGACGGATTCGGCAATCTGGAAGAAAGAAGAAAAGAGATGAAAAGAAGGGGGGGGGAGAAAGAATTGGTTGGGGAATGGGGAGAGATCCGCGCGCGCGGGAGAAATGAGCAACAATACGACCCTTATCCCAAAAAGAAACACACGCGAGGCCACGCTCGCGCGCCCGCCAACGCACCTTTTCCTCCGACTCTTTGAGATGGGCCGCTCTAACGACGACATAGACGCCTCTTTGCCTAAGGCACTGTCTGCCATAGAGCGTCGTGCAGAGCAAAAGCAGACACTCGATCAGCATAGCCCTTAGCGCCGCATCTTTTTCCCTAGCATGCTCCTCTGGCAACATTTGGCAGGCCTCTGGCAATGCTTCTTGATCCTCCAACTCCACGCTGCTTAGTTCTTGGCCTGAACATAGTGGTAGGAGCAGGTGAGGAAGAAGGTCGAGTGGCGAAGAGGCTCGTTCAACGCGACGCAGTGCGCCCGCTAGCAGCGCGTTCGGCTCCCCTTCGCGTGCCGGAGGAGGCGCCAGCAGCAATTTGTGGCAGGAGCGCAAAAACAGTATGTTTCTGTGGCCCCGGGCAAAGAGGGGGTTACAGGCAGATTGCGATGGGATCAGATCAGAAAGCGGCTGTGGAAAAAGCCCAAGACGCACATGCGCACACGCACACGCACGCACGCACGCGCACAAGACTCACTTGAGCGCGCTGATCGCTCCTCCCCTTCGGATCAGGTCGGGATGCTCCGTGTATGGCATGATCCTGGCCACCGGGTAGTCTGCCAATGTCCAGCTGGGATCATGCACCTTGGCATCGCTCGCTGCGTCAGGCTCTGTAGATGCGAGGGGAGCGACAAAGAATTCTCGACCTCGAGGTGTCTAGGGCGGGGGCAGGCGAGCATCAACATGCTGCTCGTACATGACCGAGAGGTGCAGCGCGCACTCTGCATACTCCATACTCACAATGGTAAGATTAGCAAAGACGCTGGATAAGAAATGACAATTGGATCTCCTCTTGTTGTCGTCTCCCGTCGTCGAAGCATGCTGCGCTCCGCCCGCGCCCGCGCTGGCCTTTTGAGCCAGCAGAGCTCTTCTCCTAATCTCTTGCGTCCCACTCGTAGCCTTGACCATTGCACCCTCTTCAAAGGCATCCAAGAGCGCACCTATGGCAGATATTTGCACACCAGCAAGCTTCTCAACCGCTCGCTGCGCCGCTGCTTTTTCTTGCTCGTAGGTATGTGAAGAAGGGTCTGCGTTGAGACCTGCCATGATGGATGCGTCGGGTTGAGCTGTGAGGGGAGAGGAGGAGATGCGTAGGGAAAGCAGTTGCAGAGAGACGCTTTCCAGCTTTGTGAGGTTGGAGAGGAGCATGCATGCTAGATCCGCCAAGATGGATGAGGCGTCCTGCCAAGCGAGCGATGTGGATTGGAGTCAGGCAGGGCGCAGGGAGATGAGATGAGCGTACGGGGGGCCGCCTAGCATGTACACTCACGCATATATAGGAGACGAGGAATGTGAGGAAAGCTTGATCGGCTATGCGCCTGGCTACGAGCAGACTGTCGGACAGGTTGATGAGCGCGCTGAATGCGTCGTGCGCTGTCACCTTGGGGGGGGGGGGGGGGGGGGGGGG